GGAGCAGGCTGCATACAAGTGATGTCGGCGACCTCGCCGGGATGACTTGTACAAAACAAGTGGCGGCTTCCCCACTGTACATTTAGCTCTGCTTGCCCAAAGCAGGGCTAAATGTAGAAAACAACTACCCGCCCGGTGCCAGGAACTGCATGTCCTGGGCATCGGGGGAATAGGGGAATTCCACACCCCTGCTGCCCCTCTACTCCCTGCTGCTCCAATCCGGCCCTGGATATATAGCTATAATCATGTGTGTACTTAGGAAGATATAAACATAAAGACATAAAGGGTTTGTCAGGTTTTATTGCTATTCACCTGCAGGGTTAGACAGTCCTCTTTCCCACAAATATTTAAAATGTGTTCATTTTAGATAGCACCTGGTCCACATACCAATAACAGGAAGGAAGGAATAGGAAAGGGATAGGTGCCTAGTGGAAATACAGGCAGAAATGCAAAACCTGACAAAGGTTCGAAGTCCTCCCTACTCTATCCAAAACTAGAAACAAAATTGGGTAAACGTCACCTTTAAGTGTTCTGAGTCATGTTTTTTAGGAGTGATATAAGAGCTCTCTATCCCTGGATTAAGGATCCATATCTTGGTGCATTTAGCTTTTCTCCTTTCATCACCTGTAACGGAAGCCCTTTTGCAGGTTGGAAGGCGGCACCTGTATATCTCCCACAATGAACTAAATTACAATCCGGACTTATAAGGACTCTTAAAGGAGAACTATGGGGTTAAGTCTTTTCCCCATAGTTCTCCTTAGGGTAACGAGAGGACACAAACTAGCGTCCTCCCGTCACCTTGGCTCAGTATACCGCAAGCAGCAGCTCGTATACTGAGACGCTGAAGCGGATCCCGACAATTGTGCCAGGATCCGCCCAGCTGCGTGACTGACAGCTGGCTCTGCCTATCTAGAGGCAGAGCCAGCTGTACCCGCCCCCTCCCCGTCCGATCCACCAGTCAGCGCTGGCGAATCGGAGGGGGGAATCCAGCCCCTCCCCTATCACGGTAGAGAGCCGTGACAGGATCGAGAAGTGAGCGAACGCCGGTATGTGTTCGCTCACCTCCCGATCTACTGAGCCGACCTGTGACAGTCTCATTGTCACAGGTCGGCTAGAACTATGAGGTGAGTGAAAAGCACTCACCTCATAGTTCTCCTTTAAGATAAAACCTAAATGACAGGCGACTCCTAAATAGTATTCATTGTTCCTATTATTTATTGCTGATGTGTGGCTGGGACTGTCCACATCTATACTGGGAAGCTGCTGTGTTAGCTGTGTTGGCAGACTGCTGCTGTGATAAGTAGATAAGATATGCGCTCAAAGTGACTGCCATGGATGGCGCCATGCAGAACCTCAGAGGTGTGACGATAGGTCGCCAGCACTCAAAAATGCAAAGAAAGTGTGTATTGCAAATAATGTTACATAGGTCAAAATGGCAACATTTCAGGGCCGCGCAGGGTCCCTTCTTCAAGGCGACAACAATAATGCACCCATGCGTGGCCCCAAAACGTTGCCATACTTTCTTAGCATTTTTGAGCGCTGGTGACCTTTCTTCACATCTCTGATTACGTTATATACACTGTAAAAAATTTAGCTACAATTAGCAAAAAACCTACAAGGTTGTGGATACTTCACACACATCGCACACATATTTGTAAATGCGTGTATACGCGCGAACTGTATGCAATCCCAGAATGCATACAATACGCAGAAATTCCGAGCCCGGATGCATCTCGGTTCCATTTTGTTTTGAGCATCTTTACGCAGCGCAAAAATACAGCTTCATACACAGCTATGTGTATGGGGCCATTTATTTCCATATGCTGCATGTGGCAAAAAACGCTGCAAGCATCTATACGCAGCGTATTATACGGCCGTGGGAATGAGGCCTTAATGATTACAACAACTTAACAAAATGACTAAAGTAAGTGCTGTTAAAAGTGGAACTGGAAACTGTGCCAAAAAAGACAGGCAGAGGACAAAAGACTAGTCACAAGTATTGCCTGTAGGCTCTCTGCGGCTGATCTTTCCCCATTACTGACTTACCATTCCTTCTTCTGCACTTTGTATGGAGGCGGCCATCTTGGTAGAGGCATGGTTTTGCTACCTCATGTCAAAGCCTCCATCGAGGAGAACAGTGACCTGCAAACCAGTGACCTTACCAAATCTCTCTCCAAATTGAATGATACCAGCAGTGAGAGGCAGCAGTGCCTTAGATCTCACACTGCAGGTTGTATGCACAAGAGAGCCTCGGCACCCTCACATACCAGGAGGTACACTGCACCAAAAATACAGAAAGCCAAGTTGCCTTGACTTATTTTTTACAGATATTTTGTCTTGAATTCCTCTCCAGTGCACTTGGAATGTGCCACCAATGCTGCTGTTTTAGAACAATACATGAATTAATCTGTAATTAAAAAAAAAAATCAACTCAAATAGACTTGCTGTATTTTTCTTGACGACATTTCGCTGGTCACCCGACTAGCTTTTCCAATTCACAAATGAGAAAGCTAGTCGGTTGACCAGCAAAACGTCTTCAAGACAAATACAGCAAGTCCAGCTGCTTTTATTTCTTTTTATTCTTACAGATATACCATGACCTGGATGTATGAGATCCTTCACAGACAATACATGAATCTTCATACACTGGGAGATGTGTACTTGGAAGATTCATGGGCAGGTGTTCTATCAAAGATTGTGGCTGCGTTGGAATGTGTGACCGGTCACGTGGTCACACATTTTAACGTAATCACGCCCAGTTTTTCTGCGGTAAAATATGTGACCGGCAAAAGGTGAAGCATTCCAAAGCTTTCTCAGCTGTTCTCCTGCACAATGCCGATCTGCCCTGGAACAGCTGATCGGTCCTGAAATCTCACTTCTATCCGACTTTGTGAGCGCGATCTCCCATTCCACAAAGTCAGATAGAAGTGACATTTCAGGACCGATCAGCTGTTCCAGGGCAGATCGGCATTGTGCAGGAGAACAGCTGAGAAAGCTTTGGAATGCTTCACCTTTTGCCGGTCACATATTTTACCGCAGAAAAAGTGGGCGTGATTAGGTTAAAATGTGTGACCATGTCACCGGTCACACATTCTATCGCAGTCACAAACTTTGATAGAACACAGGAAGTGCAGCAGGGAAATTGTTACTGTTAGGTTGTAGCGTGGCTGAATGCCGACCTCTAGTGGACAAATATAATATTGCATCTATTTAAAACAAACCTATGACTCGATCCATCCTGTAAAGTAGAAGAAGTTTGTATTTATAATCTAAAATCCGATCTAATGTCTTCCCTGGTAAATTCCTCAGGATGATGCCACAGGGCCCAGTCATGCCAGTCGCCTTTGCTTTGTATAATACTGACTTTGGGTTTTAGGTCTATCGCTGTATTTGTATTGTTGTTGGAAAGTGATAATAGTCATTTGTGTCTCAATGTATCTTTGCAGGTTTACTATGTGCTGTACTCCTTTAAAGCGCGCTCTCCCAATGAACTTTCGGTATTGGCCAATCAGAGACTTAGGGTCCTGGAATGTGAAGACATGAACGGGAACAGCGAATGGTGGTTGGCTGAAGTGGAAGGGAGGCGCGGCTACGTGCCATCCAATTACATCCGGAAGACAGAGTACACGTGAGATGGTTCTACAGAAGCCCGAACCTGGATTTCACAACACTTAGAGGACATTTTGTGCCTTTTTTTCCCTCCGGGATGACGGTTTTCATTTGTTTGCTGCTGATATCACTTGAACAATATTTACCCAGAATGTGGTTTTCTACTATAGAACTTGCAATCAGCTATTGCGTCCAGAACGGAAGACAGGATTTTGTTTGCATTTACTCAGACTTGGTGCATTGTATTGACTCGAGAACAAAGTTAGAAAAAGGGGGCGGAGTCGGGAAGAGGCTTATTAGGTAAAGGCGTGGCATTTGGTGGGGGAGTGGCTTGAAGCTGTAGAACTACAAGTCCCAGAATGCCAGACGAAGCCTGGTAGCACCTGAAGGTCCGCTTCCTTTATTTTACGATCATTTAAAATGGGGCTCATTTATGAATACAGGAGCAACAATTGAGATGCTGTTTTTGGCAACCAATCAGGTTCTGCCTTTTTAAAGGAACAAGGTTTCTGATTGGCTGCGTTCGCTCCAGTACTCATAGGTCTTCCCCAGCGTGTTCACATAGCCAGAGCAGATAGTCACAGGCCTGTGCTGTGATGGAGTTTTGTGTATTAAATACACCGCGAATGTACGACATCCTTCCACTTCACAATCTCTTTTTTTTCTAATATAAACATATGCATTTGATAGACATAATAACAGAAAAAGGCGCAAAGGAGTTTTTAGAGCAAAGCGCACTTGTGTTTTTTTCCCCCCTTTTCTCTGCTTTGGGTGTCATTTACCAGTCCAGTAGCACATTTTGCTGTGCATTGATTGGTTAGCTGTCTGAGTGATAGTCCCGCCCACAAGAGCGTTTGTCCAGCTTGTGGTTGGCTTGCACACATCAGAGCAGGCAGCACTTTTTCCCCTTGATTTCACCTAAAACCAATTCCCACAAATACAAAAGATCCGCTTTACTCATTTCCTTAAAGTGACTGTCTACTTATGCACAACTCTGCCCTCTGCTCATCCTGCCATCTTCTCCCGTGGTGACTCTACGCGTGACAGCTCTAAGGGTCAACCACTGGGGGCTGGACAAGGTTATATATCTGGGGTCACCTATACGTCAGTTTGCCCTCTGCAGACAGCTCCTGTAGGGCGCCCCTAGCTCAGTGAAGCTGTGAAGGAATACTGATGTATGATGTCACCAAAAGAGGACCTGTCCTATGAAATGAATGGCTAGGAGAATGTTTATAATCAGCCCACCATTTACATACTCTTCAGTGTCTAGTGATTACACTATTACAGTATTACTATTCTTACATGAATATTTTCAGTTTCCAAGAAATGTAAAGCTATTTGCAGCCAGTATCATCCTCATAATGAATCACAAAGTTATGGTGCAGGTTTCCATCTTAAAGGGCCGATCCACCCCCAAACTGGTGTTTCAGCTTTGGGTCCATGCCTGTGGGTTGCATGACTGGTGGCCTGCAGATCCTTGGGCAGATATCTGAATTTAAAGGTTTATCATACTTTTCAATGAATGTGTGCGTTATGTATACTGTACAGGAAACCTTATCTAATCATTTCTTTTAGAAAAGCACAGATACCGATAATAGTTTCGGAATCGGTGCCGATACAGAGTATGTGGGCGAGTACTCGTACTCGCCGAAATGCCCCGATACCAGAACTTCCGTTCAGAGGAAGATTTCCTCCGCCTGGCAGTGCCGTAGGGGAACATGGACCGGCTTCCCGGCCAATCAGCAAGCCAGGTGGCGAGTAATGACACGCCTCCCGGCAGCCTGATTGGCTGGGAAGCCAGCTTTCCAGCCAATCAACATGGAGCCGGCTTCCCAGCCAATCAGGAAGCAGGGAGGTGTGTGATTACTCGCCGCCTGGCTTGCTGATTGGCCGGGAAGCTGGCTCAATGCTGATTGTGAACCGGCTTACCAGCCAACCGATCCGGCCAAACAACATGGAGCCGGCTCCATGCCAGCGGATGCACCGGTATCGGTACTTAGTATCGGCGAGTACCAAAAGCAAAGTATCGGTACTCGTACTCGATAACGAAAAACCGGTATCGGTGCATCCCTAGTTTCTTTCTATATAAATACTGTATGCAGCACAGCTTACAAAGGTCCGCCACATGGGCTCTGTATCCTGCATTAGGCTCCGGGGCAATGAGGGGCAGAGTGTTTCAGGAAAGAATACCAACCCAGAGACAGACCTCACCTCTCCTGTCTTTGGCTCTATGTATAAACCTGTCCTAAAGGTATCCCACCGCACTCCGTATCGGAGAACCCCTTAGGGTAGGTGCTAAAAATGACTGTGGATGGCGCCTCTTGAATGAAGTAACAGGATGTCACCAGCACACCGAAGATATATGTCAAAGCAAACATTCTTTATTGATGCATATTGTCACACAGATGGCAGCGTTTCGGGGCCATGCAGGGTCCCTTCATCAAGCTCAGATCCTGCGTGGCCCCAAAACATCACCATCTATGTGACAAAATTCTTCAATGAAGGACATTTGCTTTGACCCATATGTTGGGTGTGCTGGTGACATCCGGTTACTCCATGTATAAACCTGTCCCTACTGATGGGGATACAGAGTCTGAGCTGATCTATACACAGGATCTGCTCTGTGCTGGTTGCTCAGTGTTGTATGCCATTCATAGACCAAGAAAAGGAAACCGGTCATTGACCCTGGCACAGTATACAAATCAACTAGTTCAGGCACGCAACTGTGCTCAATGGATATCTAAACCCAAGAACAACAATGCAATATATTGCAGCCTGCCAGTACGTAGATGTGGTAGCCACATTCATTTTTTCCCAGGCTAAGAAAAGAACACGTTTCTGATCTTCCCAGAAATCCAGTGTCCTTGTAACTTCCTGTGCATTAAACTGAAATCTCAAACAATATCATCCTTTCCAGCTACACAGACTACAAAGCAATACCCCTCTATGTAAGGGCAATGTGGTAAGAGCTGTGCTTGTAGTGTACATCAGAATAGCCTAGGGTGACAATGCTGCTCCTCTGTAGATACAGTGGAGCAATTTATTGTTGTCACCCTAGGACAGGAACTGTGTTAGTCGGGGTCACCAGTTGAAAATAAAGGTATAAAGTCTTTGTTTTTAAAAGACAGGGCAAAAAAAAACTAATGCAGCCACCACATCGAAGGACTGACTAGCTGCAATATATGTCAGTTTGGGGTTTACATACTCTTTAAATGTGCAGTTATTAATACATTCATTCTTTCCTACCTATAGAACTTGTTAGCATTGAAAAAGCTTCTATGAAGGTCAAAGTCTGAACAATACCATTACATTTATTCTATAGAATGACAGGTGCTCTTGAAGACTCTTGCTGGCATTGTGGAAGGGTTGGGTAACCCTTCCACAAAGACAATGATGCAATCTCCTGTGAAGGGAAGCATAGTGTACCGTGTAGCACACAGGCTGGGCAGCTCGTAGCGAAGGGCAGACAGATATACAGACAGACGGACTTCACTACTGAAGAGGGTTTACAATCCGGGTTCAGTTCTCTTCCAATTCCACGGATGTATTTTTTTCATCTTGTATATGTGTTTAATAAAAGAATAGCCTTTGCACATTTTCTGATAGGCACCTTTTTAGGGGAGACCATTTCTTTACTGATCAGTGTTCTGTTTAGAACAAATATTTTCTGATACAGTTTTGTGTATTTTTATACAGTTATTTTATCTTTTTTTCCCTCTGACAGCAGAAAACAAAAGCGGATTCTGCTTCTTTTTACTAGAGGCTGCGGTTCAGTGAGGAGAGGCGAGGGTGATTCCATTGTGCAATGCTATGTTGAACCAATAAACCTCAAATATGACAATAAATATACCTGTGTGTGTATGTGTTCCTGCAATGACAGGGTCTGGTCTAAGACGGGCCTGTGAATGGTTTTATATTATTTACAGTCTGGAAGAAATCTTCCATTTGGTCATCAAGCAATACGAAAGTAGAAAAGTTAATTCATTGTAAAAGGTTAAAGGGTCAAAAAATAAATCTGTATTTCTATATTGAATTTCCATAAGTTCCATCCCACTTCTACTAACCAGATCCATCTAGAAGTTTGTAAACTTACTGAAGATGCCCATAGGATGGACTTTCTTGTGTCACCATTCTAAGGCTGCCGACTGAATTATAACTCAACTTCTGAACAATGTAACATCAGCATTGTGTGCTGGATGCAATGCATGATGGGATATGTAGACATGAGAAATGGAGATTACATCACATCAAGCAGCAGGGAAAGAGACGCAAAGCACGCTGGGAATCCAGGAAGTTGATGGAATTGATGGGCAGACGGAAGGCAGCGCTCACTACATGAAAGGGATTTTTTTTTCATGTAAGCTTTGATTGTATTATGAAAAGCACCTCCAGTATGTATTCCTATTACAACGCTGAGGTCATAACAGGAGAGGATATGCCGGGACTTTACCACTCCTTTAAATAAATGAAAGTGTATGTAAAACCAAAACCTTTTTTCTTAGTTTGGGAAAGTGTTTTATTACTGTCCTTGTCCTCGATCAGCTGATTCCACCTGTCTGTTTGTCCAGGTGACCATTGTGTCTAATCATTTTGTATTGTGCAAACTGTTGGTGCTCTATAAATCCTGTATAATAATTAGGGATGCACTGATATAGATTCTAGTATCGGTATCGGCGCTGATACCGAGTAATTGGGCCCAAATTCTCCGATGCCTAGCTCGATACTCGAGCTTCTTTGTATCAGGATGCTGGGCGGCGAGTCATTACATGCTTGATTGGCCAGGAAGCCGGCTCCATGCTCCCTCGTCACTTGGGTTCCTGGTTTTCCAGCCAATTAGCAGTGTGTAATGACTTGCCGCCTAGCCCTTCTGATTGGTCGGGAAGCTGGCCTATTAGGAAGCCAGACGGCGAGTCGTATCTGCCCCCCGGCTTCTCGATTGGACAGAAAGCCGGCTCCATGCTGCCTCGTCACCTGGTGACGAGGCAGCATGGAGACTGCTTCACTGCTAAGCGGAAAGCCCGGTGGCGAGTCTTTACACGCTTCCCGTCCAATCAGGAAGCCAGGTGGCGAGTCATTATACGCAGCCTGGCTTCCGGTATCTGTATTCGGTATCGGCAAGTACCAGGGAAAAAAATATCGGTACTCGTTACCGAAAAAAACGGTATTGGTGCATCCCTAATAATAACTATAATACAGAAAG